CGGGGGCGCATTTTCCGGAGCCGAGAGGGCCGGGGAGCCGGCAGGAAATGGAAGGATGAAGGGTGCAGCCGGAGCGGTGGTGCTCGTTCTCTCCTTGCTTTCCCCTGCAGGAATGTAATCCGCAATGCTAGTTCTCAGGTTGCTCAATGTTGTTGCTCCAGCCTACTTCTTGTGCATCTCTCTAGTGACCTTCGTCCTCCAGATCTTTCTCTTCATCCCCAGCATGTTCAGAGACCCTTCTGCCACCTCACTTCTCTCTCCTGCTCTGCTGCATGGGGCCCTCTTCCTCTTCCTCTCAGCTAATGCCCTGGGCAACTACGTACTTGTGATCCAGAGCTCCCCTGAGGACTTGGGCAAGGGCTTAAACTTGGGCGAAGGAACCGAAGTGGTGGCGGACTGGCTGGATGGAAGCAGGTCCCCCGGCTCAGCCTTGCCCAGCACTCACTTCTGTAGACTGTGTGCCAGAGTCACCCAGAGGCATGACCACCACTGTTTCTTCACAGGGAACTGCATCGGGAGCAGAAACATGCGAAACTTCATCATGTTCTGCCTCTACACCTCCCTGGCTTGCCTCGACTCCCTGGTGGCAGGCATGGCTTACATTTCTGTTGCACTCTCCATGTCCTTTGCAAATCCACTGGCCTTCCTCACCCTTCTGCCTCACTCCATCAGCCAGTTCTTCTCAGGTAAGGACCCCTTCCTCAGACATGAGGATCACATTCCTCCTCCTGGGCCCCTGGGGTGTGAGGGAGGACTTGCTCTTTTCCCAGTAGTGGCAGATTAGGTTGGTAGAGGGGGGAATGGACAAGAGCAAGAATTAGTTGTGCTCAGTAAAGCCTTGTTTAGAGTCTAGAGATGGTGTTTGCAAATGATTTTGCTTCATCTGAAATAGGGGCTGGAACCTACTCCAAGTTACAGCCACAGTCCTATTCATAATTCATTAGATTAAAAAAACATAACCAGTTTGTCAGTGATAGAATAGGGTTGTTGGTCATGGGGGGAGTGTGTTGCGATTAGGAGAGAGATTATTTTAGTCATTGACCTATAAGCAAGGGGTATCTTTTTGCTGTCCTACAGGCAGCATGAGTGGTGGTGTAGGTGGTCTGTAGGTTTTCATGTCCTACAAATCTTCAGGTTCCCCAGTGAGGATATTCCTGCTCTCCCGATGTAGATTTATGCACTCACTGCATTTCACTGATAGCCACCTCATCCTAGCAGTGCAAGCTTACTGATACGTTGTCACTCTTCCAGCACTGGAAAATTCAGGTTGAGGCAACAGTTAGCTTATAGAAACCAAGAGGAAAGTTAATATGACATTGTCAGCAAGCTCTCTCAACCCCAGTCTGGGACATCATTTCACAGAGAGGTGGAAATTCTCCCTATGCCTGCTCCCTGCAAGAGCTCTGCACCGAAAGCAAATGCTTTTCTTCCTTTCACCATCCCTTACCTTTCCTTCTGCTTTTTCTGCCTTTCTCTCTACCATACATGTCAGACCCTCCCCTTCTTCCTCCTGATTCTGCTCCCAGAACTCTTCCTCTGCTCTTCTAACCTTGTCGCTTCACCTTTCAGCATACCCCCCAAACTCTTGAGCCTCAATGCTTTCTCTGTCCAAACCTGAGAGCTAGATAAAACCTGACAAGAGACAAAGCCCGATCTCTGAGAAGTGACTATGCAGAGAGCTTGGTGTGTTATTTTGTCCTGAGAGTGACTGCAGAAAAATGTCATCTTTTCCCCATATGCAGTTCATGACTAGCAGACGTAGATCTGCTTTCCTTACAGACTAAAATAGGTATTACATATTTTTTAGCTTTGCACATCCCTCTGAGCTCCATAACAAAGCTCTGATGCCTGTTCTGGCTCATGCACCGGCACCAGAAGTGTTGTGATTGAGCTCTGGAACCTTCGCTGCTGGTGGCACAAGAGCCAGAGAGGCCCCAGCTTTAGCTTTGCAGATTCCAGGCTGGGTTTGCAGGTTTGCCATCTGAAAACAAACAAATATCTCTCTACTTGGCAAATTAGCAGATTTGTCATGGTAATCACTGAGAGACAATAAACATGAAATCCTGCCATGATATTTTTATAGTGCCATTTTTCCAAGTAGAACAATTTTTGTAAATAATGTTACATGAGCTTCACTAACATTAAAAACATAATTTTTCCCTGTGCCTAAGCTCTGCTCAACAGAGTAGACTGGAGCAGGGATGTAGGAGGAGTTTATCAAGGAATTAGCTATGTCTCTCTGATTCTGTGGGCTGATGGGTACCAAGATGAGTCCTGATACACATTTGAGGAATCACTGAAGTGATCGAATTCTAGTGTCAGCAGTGTGCAGTGCCAAAGGAAGCACCTGGGCAAGATGTGAGTGGGACACAACTGGGCTGGGTGCAGGGCTGAGAGCTTGGAGCTAGAACATCCTCAAGAGGCAACAGCTCCCAGTTTCCACTGAATTCCAGGTTGGCTGGAGCTGAAAGCTGCTGCCTCAGACAGGAATACAGAGAATGACTAGCATGTTTATTCCTTGGGAATAAGGACCTACTGGGTTTCTACCAGCATGTTTAACATCCAGAGTTCAGGAAAGAAAAACACAGTCTGGTGTGGTTACCTCGAAGAATCATCCATCCAACCTTTTTTTTTAATGCAGCTAACATAACTATTACTTAAGAACTGTTGAGGGATCCAAATAATGAACTGCTGTAGCAGAGAAAAAAATATATCTGTCTTCTTTTTCTCCAGCATGTCTTCTGTATTGGAGGCAGGACCAGAAGGTAATGAATGGTGGATCTACCGGTCTTAGTTCAACTAGCTATTTCCTGACTCCGTGCTGGGAAAATTTTCAGTTGGCTAGTTATGACAGACTGTGCTCTGGCATGGGTTTAAGGATCTGACACAGAATCTGTAATTTCAGCTTTGTGGCATAGACAAGGTATGGCAATAAACTTGAGATCACATCAGGTCGATTAAAGCAAAAGTGAATCTGAGAGTAAAATGGGCTGTGAGACGAGGGACAAATGAACCATACTTTTGTAAATACGGGTCAGATTGGATCCACAAAAGAAATGACAGAAAATGATTTATGTAGCTAACCTGAGAATATGGTTAAGAAACCTCATATCTGGAAAACATGGCACAGAGATGCATAACATTTGCAAGGGGAGGAAAGGGTAATTTCTTTCTCAATATTGAATTTCAGCAGCTCACACAGAAATAAAACTTTTAGTCATGCTGGCTATAAACTTTATTTATAGGGTTCTAAAGCAAATATGTATTTTTCTCCACATTCCTATCTGAACATCAGCTATAGAAAAGAACAAATCTTGTCACACTCCAGCCCAGTAATAGAAAGGCGAAGAAGCCCCTGTTTGGATATGACATTCCTATCTAATTCATTAAGTTATTCCAGCAGATTTGGTATGAAGATTTGTCATCATCCTATTGGTTTGTGCTCCCCTTGCTATGCTGCATATGAAGCCCAATGAACCAAACAGGATCTGATGAAAAGGGAAAGACGATGCTGCCTTTGGAAAGCAATCTGACTGCTGCCTGTGCCTCTTCCTAGTCTTGGGGACAGTGTCTGAAAGCTTCAGGCATTAGTCAGTCTCCTTGCAAATCATTCATGATGGAGCCACCCAGTCAAGCTCAAAACTTGGAGTAAATATCACAGTCAGTCCTGACCTCTCCCTTAGAGCCCTGTGAGGTGGAAAAGTTGGGATTCGTAGGAAGGAATGCCAAACGGCACCACCCACTCTGGCTTTCTGTATAAGGGAAGCAAGAGACATTTATGTAAAACCTGGAGCTTAAAGCAGCTATGCACTTGCTTTAGGCAGCACCCTCCGCTAAGCACGAAACCCTTGCTCTGGCAGGGATTGCTGTGGGGCCAGAGGAAGCGCTCCTGCACTGCTCCTTGCACATGCAGAGGACCCAGAGCCTGCAACTGCCCTGTTGTGTGTTCTTCAAGAAGGGAACACTGAGGATCTTTCTTATTTTAAAAAAATTTGCAGAAATTTTATTCTTTCTATGAGCCTGTGTGTAAATATGGGTGGTTAATGATATATCAGTATATACAAAATATGCGTGCACACACTCATATGCACACATATATTACTATTTTAATGGGTTTATATCTGTTTAGGCACCAAGAGGTCTTTCAATGATAACTGCCACTATACTAGTATTTTCCGGAAGTTTTAAATTATTGTAGGGAGAAGGACACGCAGAATGTTCCTTTAACGTAAACACACTGAACATAAATATATATTACAAAATTGTTGAGTTGAGAGTTTTAGCCCTATAAAATAGAAATGTTCTAGCAGCAGGTTTAAAAAAGGAATTTGAACCGTATTTTGGAAATATTTTGGAAAATTATCTGTTTTTTCACACATTCATATAAAAACTACATTTGCTCAATGCTACGAATGGCATTATCGATAATTTCATTTTAGGATATTATATACATAGAGACAGTGGTGAATCACAATTCTTTGTGCTTAGTACTACTGCACACAGAAAGATTTCTGGAACAATCTAAATGTTATAAGTTCCACAGCCATTTTCAAAAGGAATCCAGGAATATTAATTTCACTGTGATTAGCAGGTAAGTCTTTAAGTCACTTAATCGGTCTGCAAAATAGGGCTGATGTCTTTCAAATCTGTTTCCCTTCTGCTTGGATTTGCCTCTGAAATCTAGATTCTCACATTAAGAGTAAAGTGACCTGTCCCTACCGAGGCTGCTACCGTGTTAGTATTGTCCCATTAGGCTCATTGCCTTGAACACAACAAAGAAAACATTTTAATGTCGTTAGGATAACTATCATGCCTTTTTTTCTAACTCCCTACCTGGGCAGATGCTATAGAATATATGCAGCTCTTTGCCTGCATATATTCCAAGTGCTCTTGGAGAACTGTTATGCTGATGTGTCTAAAACGCTGCTTTTATTGCCCTCCTTCCTCCTGACTCTTAATTTACAGGGGCTCTCCTCAGCTCCGAGATGTTTGTCATCCTCATGCTCTACCTCTGGCTTGGGATCGGCCTGGCCTGCGCTGGCTTCTGCTGCCACCAGATGCTGCTGATCTTACGTGGGCAGACACGGTACCAGGTGCGGAAGGGGATAGTGGTAAGAGCCCGGCCCTGGAGGGAGAACCTGCGAGAAGTCTTTGGGAAGAGGTGGCTACTAGGACTTCTCATCCCTGTGCTGAATGTTGGAAGTGACAACCATAGGCAGAAAGAGAAGTAAAGCCCCAGAGCGTGTGCGTGTGTTTGTGTGTGTGTGCAGCACATACACACAACACGTTCCCTGTTCTCTCCCACTCTCTCCGGATCACTAAGGAGTTGGACTAGTCCATCTCTCTGGACTGCTGCCTCTGTGGGAGGAAAGGACTAGCTAACTAACAGAATAAATTTAGCATATTAACAAGGACATCACACACCACATAGATGAAGAGATACTGCAGCTTAGTAGTCACATCACAGCACTTGTGTACATGGCAACCGCCTTTGAACTAGCAGAAAATTAGTCAGGCCCTGCTGTGGCTCCCTACTAGGCCTCCCAGAACCTGGCCCCCTCAGCCAGCCCAGGCCTTCCCTAGAGAACTGCAGCAGGAGCTTTTGGGGAGCCTGCGCTGGTGTCGTAGACTGTAAAAACACTATCCACTCCTTGGGAGGGTTTTCTAGGGTGGCTTTGGCTCTCATATACCTAAAGGGACTTTTAGATACTGAGAAGACTTTAATGATAGAGCTGCAATGTAGCCAAGCCACCCTAGGAGCAGGCTATGCACAGGGCTAGGAAGGTGGAACAACCTGCTCACCTCAGGCTAGAAAATAAGGGAGGAAACAAAAAGAAAGCCCGACTTTCCCCATTTCTTCACTTGCTCTCCTCCCTGTCCAGTGCTAAGGAAGAATGGTAGCTTATTTATTTTCAGGAGTCCTTTGCTCAGGGACACAGTCCTGGCAAGGCTGCCCTTCTGACAGGAGATAAATCATCACAGTGCAGCGACACGAGGAGAGGAGACTGCGGAAGTGAAGGAAAAGCTGCTTGTGCCTGGGAAGCTGCTCGTGAGGCAGCTGAGGGGGTGAGCGGGATGCGCTGGCAGGGAGCTGGGAGCGGGGTGCTTGGAGCCCCGCTGGGCGTGCGAGGCCTGGGTCATCACCCCGCTGGACCGGGCGCCTGCGTCGCAGGTGCCACCAAGAGCTCCAGCTCCCAGGAGGCAGGGCGGTTTCCAGTCCATCAGGCCGCTTTACGCTATAAACAAAAACAAAACGTTTACTTCAGACATCCCTGCCACGCATATATGTCCCTTAGGGCAATTCCCTCTTGGGCTGCTACAGCGGAGTAAATCCATCCATGTTATAACTCCATTAAAGAGGCTAATGGAATTACCACAGGGATTAATCAGACGAATGCAGTGGTTGGTTTCCAGCTGCAGCAACATCTCGTGAGATCAGTGCTGAGATCCTTCGCTAATAGATGCCTTAAGAAAGAATACCACAGCATCTCTGCCAGGATCTCAGTGCTGGAATCCCCAGCAACTGGAACAGGAAACCTCTGTTTCACCTTCCATGGGCTGGATGGGAAACAATTGCCTCTCATTAGCCCATAGCCTGGGAAGTATGTTGACGATCAGTGAAAAGTGATTTTTTTTTTCCTCAGAAATAGTCTTTTGGTGCATCCCAGGTGGAGGAACGCACCAGATTCACTTTCATTCTTGTGAGTCGCATATAGCAGAGCTGAGGCACTCATTCTGACAGGCTTTGTAAATGCCCTTCACAGCTTCATACTTGTATGCACTTTGGATCAATAACAAACAAAATCTATTGTAACCATGAGAACATACTGAAAAAAACAAACAATCAAAAAAACTATCTGTGTACTTAAAACATATAGCATATAAGTTTCCACTGTGTGTGTGTTCACATGAATGCACCACTGTTTCCATGTGTAATATGCTGTATTTTCATTTCAATAGTGAACAATAAAAAGTGTTTTTTTAACATTAGCTGTACTGTGCTTTTTAACAGCTTATTGGTTGTCTTTGTATATGGAGATAAGTACAATTGTTACAGCATATATATGTTCATATTGAAGGAAAAAGTTAGGATTTGTTTATTAGCTTTGTCAATAATTCATTATATGATTTTGGACAAGGCATTTCACCCTTTTTACATTAACTCCCATTCTATAAATGCATCTAATAATCAGCTTGCAGTTATTCTAATTCCTATTTATAAGTTACAATGTGAATCTCAAATGCAAGCTACAGAATAATTAAGCTATTACCATCATCCATGACAGCATCCTGAAATAGATCATTCCTTATTGGTAAGACGAAGAGCAGACAGTCACCTTGTCATTGCAAACAGAGCCAGCACTTTACACCCTATGCCTCGCCTTGGAAGGATTCCCAGAATTATTCCTATTTCCCCAATTGATCAAATTTTTTTTTCCTTTTTTTTTTTAATGCATTTCTAAAGGCAACAGACTCCAAGATTTCAGACAGTAGCTTCCTCATGTCAGCAGAAATTATGTTTTGACATCCTTGCCCTCTGCCTTTGCCATTCAACTGACACTGCAGTTTTGGGCGGCTTGTGGTACTTTTGGTCGGGCTACGCCTGCCTCGGACTGCGAGCTCATCAGGTGCCTCCTGCTGAGAAAACCACGACCAGCTCTGAGTTTTGGGGGGTGCTCTGCAAGGACAGTCCACAACTGGCTGTGAAGCCTGTTGCCTTCACATCAGTGCTGGATCGTGCCTGGTCCCTCTGCCAAGGATGCAGTCACCTGCCCTCATGGCAAAGGTTCAGTCCTTGCTGAAGCACAGGATAGAGGAATTTGCACTTTGGATAATCACTGCACAGCGATCCAAAATTATTCTTTCATTGAGATACCAGTGTTCCTCCCTATAAGTTACTGAATCATTTTTTTTAAGCAGTTAAACAGTTCCTCTGCAACAAACTACTGCGTTTTAGTGGTAGTGGTATGCAGCCTTTCCAGTTGTGATTATCTGCGATGAAAAGGGCTGTAGAAATGCAACAACACAGTGTCACTGTATTTTGGCTCATCTCTCTGCTCATTGCCAGCAATGTGAACTGAGGCAGAGCAGTGGCTCTACAGGAACCGCTGTGAGCAGCTCTTTAATTATCCACCTGCCCTGACATCCCTTCCCTGTCACACCTGCATATGCACTTATAGAAATCCTTGGGAAGAAAATCTAACAGGGCTTAATGACTCCGATCAAAATTTTTGCTCTTAGCCATGAATTAGGAAATGAAGGCTGAGCTCCGTGGCAATGTCACAAATTCTCAGCTAAATCTCCTTGATGGCTCTAAAGTGCTATAACTGTAAACAATGAAACCATCACATTTTCTATGCTTAGAGAGCCATTACTTATAATTGGCATGTTATTAAAGGACAGCCGCAATATGAACATGTTTTGAAATCTGATTTCTTGTGACAATGTTTAACTACTTTAACATTTCTAAAAGCAAAATATTTAAGGCTTATCTGGGCTTTGGAAAATCAGATGAGCATCAGTTTTTTCCTCTGATAATGTTAACGGATGAAGGAAAAGCTCCCTGTTGCCAAAGAACCCACACAAATCCAAAAAAATTTTACTTAGTGGCTTGTATATTTTAAGCATGCCTACTTGAAGAAATGATGCCATCGTTAAGGCCTGAGAAGTCCTTGCTATCAAAGTACAAAACAAACTACGAAATGCAACTGCAAGTTACCTAGTATTTTTTCTTACATATAGTGTTTTTCTTACATATATTAAGAAGCTCTTACAAAAATAAGTGGATAGTGTTCCTCTTTATATTACAGTGTAAGGTAGTCCTCACAGCCTGCATGCAAAGGCTTTCCTTTTCCAATTAAAAGCTCTTCATTGAATATCTTCATATCTTCAGAGAATATAGAGTTAAAAAATAAGGAGTCTCAAGTAAGGAAGCAGAGGGAAGACATGAAAAAAGTCTATGTGAAACAACATTTATCTTATTTAAGAAATAGCCAGCTCAAGGGAGATCATCATCTTCTAAAAATACTTGCAAGGAGACAGGATAAATGAATGAGGAGACTCATTAAGTAGAAGGAAAGAGCTGGAGGAGGACAGACAGTCCTGGAGCAAGGGAAAGAAAAGCCAAGGTCAGAGATTAGGTCATGCTCCTATCTTCATAACAGTCAGCTGAGAGCAATCAGAAAGTGGCCCTAGTGAGGGCAGAAGTGATTTGATGTTGGTAAAAATGATGCACTGACATCTAGCAGGTGGTAGGAGCATAACAGTACGACTGTTGACTAAAAAGATGACAGAGGGAAAGCTCAGGCTGGGAAACTCAAATACTAATCACTTTCAGGGGCGGGCGGGAGAAGGCAACCAAACCAAACCGAAACAAGAACAGCAGAAGCTCCAGGAGAGCTGAAAGGGCTTTTCTCACTTGAAGGAAAAATGATACTATTAGCAGAAGCTCAGAGCTGAATGGACAGAAGCCGTAAGTAGCAACAGCAGTATCTATATACTAACACTTCTCTCTGAGATTAATTTAAAGACTAGACAGAACATTTATGGTTGGAATAATGCAGAGACCTATTTATTAAAAATAAATAATTGGAGAATAAACCTTAGAGCATGTGTGGAGTTTGTGTGCCCTGCTAGGTACTTGAATAGAAGAAAACAGTGTCAATCTGTATTAACAAACATAACTACACATCCACATATGAGTTTCCTCCATTTTTCCAGATCTTTTCCGAAAAGCCAGAGGAGTAAAAACCTTTTGGAGCTTGCCCCATAAGCTGGCAAATATAGAATAATTTGTGCTTCAGGTCATTACAGAGCTTTCCAGCCAGCATCCTCTTCTTCATTACACAGAAGAGGTTTAAGCATCAGCTGTTCTACTGTCCCTAGCCAGCACGTGATGTCAGAGCTCAAACAGGCCAGTCCCATAAGGCTTTGAAATTCAGCATCTTCCAACCTCCCCAGATGTTCACAAATAAAAAATACAAGCTCTCCTATATTAGCATCATCTGCTTTTTGTACAGTGCCGCATTTAACATGTAGGCAGACACCTTAACAGCAGTTCCAGAATTAAAAAATCAATTAAAGTCATGCAGAGCATGCACATTCAGTTTACTTACAGATTGGCAAAAGAATGAATGACAGTAGCAAACTCTGCATGTGAAAGAGAATTACTTTGAGATCAATGGAGATGGTAAAGTTCCATCCATCTGCCACTGATTTTCTACATTTTGTTGTTAATCTACTTTATTCTTGAATAGCTACTAGCTTGGATTTCCTGTGATTACTGCACATGCACAGTCTTAGGGGAATGCATAACTTCTCTCTTCTTTTTCAGTTGTTTTGACAAGTCTATCTTTATCACCATCATTCCTAGATTATCATGCCTGACTGGAAAAATTGCATTAGATGTCTACCCAGCCTTCCAATTGCTTATGCTGCATAAGCAGACGTGAACCTCTGTATCATCATGATGAAAATGCTATAGTTTGGTGGTCATCTAGTGATGGCCTTAAGAGTCTAGACCTGCCT